GAGACCCAAGAGCCTTGGACATGAGTTTAGGTGCAAGACTATATTATAAAAGTGTGATAATTAAATAGAAAAAAATTAATATTAAAAAAAAATTAAACAAAAAAATAAGATTAATTAAAAATAAAAAAAATAAAAAAAAATAAGTAAAACAATATTTTAATTAATAGTGCTTTGCGAGGAGAGGTATAGTAAAATATACTCATGAAATCAAGATAATCTAATAAAAAGTAAATAAAAAAAATCATGATATTTAATTCTCAGTGAAATCGATATTAAATGGTGAAATTAAAAGTAAAGAACTAATTAAAAAATAAAAAACTCTGAATCAATTGAGTTAACCCGCCAAATCAAATTAAGCTATTAAATATATGATCCGTGTCATGAGAATATGATAACTAAATAAAAAATAATAATATTAAAGAAACTAAATTAAACAAGAAAAATAATTAAATAATAGAAACAAAGAAAAAAAAACCTATAACTTAAAGGCTTAAGGAAATTAGAAAATAAATTAAATAAATATGAATTAATTAGGTTGATTTATCAAACTGAAAATATAATAACTAAAAAAAATAATAATATTAATTAACTAAATTAATTAAAAAATAATTATATATATATATGTAAGAACAAACCTATAACTTAAAAATTCATTCAAGAACCATCCAATACCTAAACTCACTTTAAAGTAATATTTATAATATTAATTATAATATTAATAATATTAATAATAATATTAAGCTTGTTTGATTTAAATTATTATATATTTTTATCCCTTAAAATAAAATTTATAATTTTTCTTTAATATTAATAATATTTTTAAAAAAAATTAATAATAATAATAATAATAAACTTGGGTATGGTGCCTAGTCAGACTCAAGTTTCTAGGATTTGTTCTCATAATAATAAAAATAATAATATTAAACTTGTCTAATTCAAATTCTTATAGTTTTAAATTTTTTTAAATTAAATTTCTTGTTTTTTTAATAGTAAGAATATTTTTTAAAAATTACTAATAATAACAATATTAACAATAACACTAATAATCATAACAACAACAACAACAATAAATTTTAAATTTACCCTTCAAATCAAATCTATGGTCTTTTTCAATAGTAATAATATTTTTTTCAAATTTATTAATAATTATATTTATAATATTAATAATATTATTAAACATTTTTAATCCAAGTTCTTAAAGTTTTTAATTTTACTATTCAAATCAAATATATTATTGTTTTTCAATATTTATAATATTTTAAAAAAAATTATTAATTATTATATTAGCAATATTTGTTATAATAAAATTTATAATATTAATAATAATAATAAACTTGCATGATCCAAGTTAAAGAGGGTTTGACTATAACGCCAAGTCCAAGAGCTTTAGATCTGGCTGCAACACCAGACCTAAGAACTTGAGATATGAATTTAATTATAAGATCATGTCATGAAAGTATAATAGCTAAATAGAAAGAAATTAACATTAAAAAATGATATTAAACAAAAATAATAATTGAAAAGGAAAAAAGCAAAGAAAAAAAAAAGCAAAGCACTATTTCAATTAATAGTGTTTTGCAATGAGGGGTATAGTAAAATCACATCATGAGATCATGATAATCTAACGAAAAGTAAACAAAATAAATCATGAAGTTTAATTCATAATCAAATCGATATTAAAATAAAAAATTGGAAGAAAAAACTAAATAGAAAAAAGAAAAAAATATAAATCAACTTAGTTAACCCGCCAAACCAGGTTAAGTCGTCAAACATAAGATCTGTGTCATGAGAGTGCAATAACTAAATAGAAAAAAATTAATATTAACGAATTAAATTAAACAAAAAAAATTAATTAAAAAGAAAAGGCAAAAAAACTAAAAACTAATAATATTTTTTTAATTTTTTTAATTATTATATTAGCAATATTCATTATTATTATTATTATTATATTAATAATAATATTAAACTTACATGACCTAAGTTCAAGTGGATCTGATACTAACGTTAGGCCTAAGAGCCTTAGATCTAGTTGCAACACTAAACCTAACAGCTTTGGACGTGAGTCTAGCAATAAAGTCGTGTTATGAAAGTGTGATAACTAAATAGAAAAAAAAATATTAAATAAAAAAATTAAATAAAAAAATTAATTGAAAAATAAAAAACAAAGAAAATTACTATTTCAATTAATAGTGTTTTGCGAGGACGGATATAGTAAAATCCCCTCATGAGATCACAATAATCTAATGAAAAGTAAAAACAAAATCATGAAATTTATTTCTCAATCAAATCAATATTAAAAGATGAAATTAAAAAAAAACTAAATAAAAAAAATATGAATCAACTGGTTAATTCATCAAACCAGGTTAAGTCGTCCAACCTAGGATCTATGTCATGAAAGTGTGACAACTAAATATAAAAAAAATTAAAATTAACAAATTAAATTAAGAAAAGCAAAAAAAACTAATAACAAATAATATGTTTTCAATTTTATTAATTATTATATTAGCAGCAATAATAATAATAATAATAATAATAATTTTAATATTTTTAATAATATTAAAATTGCATGACTCAAGTTTAATTAAACAAATTATAAAGTTTAATTCTCAATCAAATTGATTTTAAAAGATGAAAATGAAAGAAAAAAATAAAATAAAATTTTTTTTTTAATCAACTGAGCTAACCCGTTAAACTAGGTTAAGCTGTCACACTTGAGATCCGTGTCATAAGAGAGTAATAACTAAATAGAAAAAATTAATATTAACAAATGAAATTAATAAAAAAGATTAATTAAAAAGAAAAAAGCAAAAAAAAAACTAAAAACTGATAATATTTTTTTCAATTTTATTAATTATTATATTAGTAACATTCATTATAAAAAATATTTATAATATAAATAATAATATTAAACTTATATGACTCAAGTTTAAGTGAGTTTGACTAGAATGCAAGACCTAAGAGCCTTGAATATAACTCCAACTACAAAACATAATATTGGAAGAAAAAAACTAAATAAAAAAATTTGAATCAATTAGGCTAACCCGTCAAATCAGGTTAAGTCATTCAATCTAGGATCCATACCAAGAGAGTGTGATAACTAAATAGAAAAAAAATATTATTAACGAACTAAATTTAACATAAAAAGATTAATTTAAAATAAAAGGGAAAAAACTAATAACTAATAATATTTTTATTAATTATTATATCAGCAATATTCATTATAATAAAAAATAATTATTATTATAATATAAATAATAATCTTTTTAATATTAATAACAATATTAAACTTATATGATCCAAGTTTAAGTAGGTCTGAGTGCAATGTCAGACCTAAAAGCCTTGGGCTTGTTGCAATACCACACCCAAGAGCTTTGGACATGGGTCTGACTATAAGATTGTATTATAAAAGTATGATAATTAAATATAAAAAAATTAATATTAAAGAATAAAATTAAACAAAAAAATGATCAATTAAGAAGGACAAAAAAAAAAAACCAAAGCATTATTCTAATGAATAATGATTTGCAAGGAGGGGTACAATAAAATTCTCTCATGAGATTATGATAATCTAATAAAAATTAAAAAAATCATGACATTTATTTTATATTCAAATCGATATTAAAAAATGACATTATAAGAAAAAAAACCAATTAAGAAAAAGAAAAAAAATATGAATCAACTAGGTTAACCCACTAAACTAGATTAATCTGTCAAACTTGGAATCCGTGTCATAAGAATGTGATAACTAAATAAAAGAAAATTTAATATTAACAAATTAAATTAAACTAAAAAAGATTAATTAAAAAACAAAGAAAAAAGCAATATGAAAAACCTATAACTAAAAGGCATATGTCTTTCACTATGGATATGCATAATGCAATCCACAATGAAAGATTGATATATTTTAGTTATAGTTATAATATTAAAAAATGAAATTAAAAGGAGAAAACTAATGAAAAAAAATCTGAATCAACTAAGCTAACCCATCAAATCAGGTTACTCGTCAAACCTAAGATTCGTGTCATGAAAGTGTGATAATTAAATAGAAAAAATTAATATTAATATAATAAATTAAAAAATATCAATGAAAAAGAAAAAAACAAAGGAAAAAAAAAGCTACAGGAAGAAAAGAAACTAATGAAGAAAAAAATCTAAATTAACTGAGTTAACTCATCAAATCAGGTTAATTTGTCAAACATGGGATCTATATCATGAAAGTTTGATAACTAAATAGAAAAAATATTAATATTAACAAACTAAATTTAAAAAAATAATAATTAAAAACAAAAAAAAAGAAAAAAGAAAAATACTAAACAAAAAAGCATTAATTTAAAAGAAAAAACAAAGAAAAAAAACCTATATAAAGAAAAAAACTAATGAAGAAATAAAAGAATCTAAATTAACTAGGTTAAGTCTTTAGACCAAGTTAACCAATCACACTTAGAATTTGTTTTATGAATGTTTAATAACTGAATAGCAAAAAATAATTATACGAGTTAACTTAGAATTAGCTGTGTTAACCTGTCAAACCCCTTAATAGAAAAAAATTTAACATTAACAAACTAAATTAAATAAAAAAATTAATTAAAAAGAAAAATCAGAAAAAAATATGGGTTAACCCCCCAAATCTAGAACTCGTATCATGAAAGTTTGATAACTAAATAGAAAAAATATTAATATTAACAAACTAAATTTAAAAAAATAATAATTAAAAACAAAAAAAAAGAAAAAAGAAAAATACTAAACAAAAAAGCATTAATTTAAAAGAAAAAACAAAGAAAAAAAACCTATATAAAGAAAAAAACTAATGAAGAAATAAAAGAATCTAAATTAACTAGGTTAAGTCTTTAGACCAAGTTAACCAATCACACTTAGAATTTGTTTTATGAATGTTTAATAACTGAATAGCAAAAAATAATTATACGAGTTAACTTAGAATTAGCTGTGTTAACCTGTCAAACCCCTTAATAGAAAAAAATTTAACATTAACAAACGCAAGTGCATAACTACATCATGGGATTTTACATCACGGTGCAATTTGTATGGAAAATCATGTAAAAATGCACGAAGTGGGGTTGCAGTTTTTCAAGTGGAAAGAAAGCTGCGGTTGTTTACTTCTTTCACTGAAGTATCAATTTGTTGATCTTAGAATATAAATAGTCTCCTTGTGTTATCTTAGTGTCACGCACTGTTCTCTTCTGGGGACCAATCCATTTTTAAACGAATTGACATTGCATAATCCTCTAATTTTGATTACCTGTGAGAAAAAAAAAAATTGCACATTTTTCTTGTGCATATTTCATGAGTCCTTTATGTTTTCAAAACATATCCGCAGGTGGTGCATTTGGTGGAAATAGAGGATTGAGACCAGTACCACCAGAAAAGGGCATCTTCCCCTTGGACCACATGCATGAATGTGACATGGTGCTGTTTCTTTTGAGTCTCCTACTTCTAAAATTTTAGTTTTTGCTAGTTTTGTGAATTTACAATGAAATATTTCTGTAATCTTTTTAATTTCTTGTTGGTTCCTTAGCTTTTATAATGGGTTTTGTTTCAGGAGAAGAAAGATTACCTCAATTGTCTCAAATCTTCTGGTCACCAATCTGAAAAATGTAGACTTTTCTCCAAAAAGTACCTTGAATGTCGTATGGAAAAGTAAGTCTGCTGGATTTCTCTACTATCCTTTGCTTTAATTTGTTCTTTTGCATCTAGTTTCTTTCTGATTGTGGTTAATTTCTGAAAACCCAAGAGAAGCATATCTAGTGAGGTTTGATGTGTGTGGGTTTTTTTTTTCTTTGGGTTGAGGGGGATGGTGTCCATGCTGATACCTGCCTGAATCATATAGTGTTTTGTTTAAGTGAATGACTGTTACGATAAATGTTCATATTCTCTAGCAATGGAAATTGCATAAACTCCATGTGGTCGGATAGGTAGTGTTGCCATAGTTTTGCACAACTTCTCTACATGGTTACAGGAAATCCTGGTTGTGATGCAATCTGTCTTGACTTGTAAAAGAAAAGCACATAACAACTGCTACATCCTAAATCCAGGGAGCAGAAAGCTAAAATCAGCGAATACTGAAAGCCTATATAATTAAAAAGGAAAACTATTTGCTGTGTTAAAATGTAAAATTAAAGAAAGATAACTGGTAGTAGTTTATTCAAATTCTTCTGGACAAGTAGTTTGTTCAAACTCTTCTGGAAAAGATAATGGCAAAGGATTCATTTAATTTCTATAAGGAAAAGGTGCCACTTTATTAAAACCTGAATACATTAATGCCTTGGTTGAATTAAATTACAACCTTTTTTTGTGTGCATTTGTCAATTGCATGATCTTCCCTATTAAAATTAGGCATTTAGAATGATTTTTGTTGTGAGCAAATTTCTGTGCTAGAATGTTGCGTGCATTCTGCATGATAAGAGTAGTGAAAGAAAAATTGTTGTTGTATGATAACATAATCAAATCCTAGAAAGTCGAGCAATTACTGCTCAGACAGCTAATGTTTTCAGAGGCAGATGAAGAAACTGTGTAAACGAAAACTGTGGCCATCGTGGATATTAATGTTGGCTGATCTATCATATTCAAGTCATAGCCATTCAACATTTGTTTTCAAGTTTGTTTTTACATGGAGAGGTCTCACATAACCTCGAACATTTCATTGTTATCCTGCAGAAACTTGATGGCTAAGCAAGACATGTCAGAACTTGGGTTTGGAAAGGTTTCTGAGATGGATGCTCCAGGTGAAAAACCCAATGAGAGAATTAATAACTGATCTGGAACTAAAGGATGAAGAGAGGTATCACAAAGTTGGAAAAGCTTTTGCGGTTCAAACTGAGTCAATGGGCATTTTCATTTTCATTTGACTGTTGTACGTTTCATTATGATCAAGGACAGCGAATGAAGCAAAGATATCCAACCGTTACAGGGTTTGATTCAAACACTTTTAAGGACCTAGATAGTGATGCATAAATTTTTGTAACCAGCTGCTGTGTTGATCATTCACAGTTTGCTAAACAGCTTTTGCTGATCCTGCGTTATCTAAACAGGACATTAGAATTCTTTTGTTTTATTGTTTCGGTTGGTTCTATTAGATACATTCACTTAATCCAAAATCATTGGGATTTATTAGGGTCAAGTTCTTAAGAGCTCTTTTCTTCTTTCCCCTAAAACCCCATGTTTATTCTTCAGTGCTGTTTGCAATTATAGGTTCACATTCAGTCAAATGCTATGATGATCTTAAAGAATTGCCCGCCAAATGCCAACTGAATACTGTTTACATTTGACAATATGTTAGTTGCCGATGACTGCATGCAGTTGCACTCACCAGACATTGTCCGATATTCGGTCAATTGTGACTAAATGTGATCGTCATTGATCGACATTCGATCGAAAAAAGAATACGGTGAAGCCACCTATTCCTTACTTGTCTTGGTTCAAAGATAATGCTATCCATTTTCCGTGCAGATTGTAGAAATATAAAATGCCAGTGCGGCCAAAAAAAAAAAACTTGGTCTGGATGATTACACCGAAGATGCTCGTCAAATGAATCCACTATATTTCCCAACAGTCCAAAAAACTTGAAAGGTGTAGCTGCTGGCGGGAGCTAAACCCTAAGCTACATCCTCCTACTACCTTGTAACTACAAAAAGAAAAAAAAAGAAAAAAAGGAAAAAAAGAAAAAAAGAAACTCTCACTCTCTCTCTTCCTCGAAGGCATCGCTAGGACACTCCCCTTGTATAAAATCTCGATGCTCCACGTTTTCTATTGTCTCTCTCTCTCTCCCCTCCTTCCTCCATGGCTTGCCATTGGTCTCTGCAACTTAACAACTCATTCTACTTCTCGTAAGTGCCTCCTATCTAATGCTTACATGCACCTATACATAGGCGTATCCCCGCATTTCTAAATGTGTCTTTGTTACCCGCTTGTGACTTGCCTACAAGTGATATGATTATACATGGAGTAAAGGGGATAGCGGTGAAGTTAAAGATGTAGTTATGGCAGGCATCTATGAAGTGATTCTTGTGCATTTTCCATTTTTGAGTATGTCTGTGCTGCATTACTATATATAGTCTTGGAACTGGATTGAATCGTGTTTATGTAAACTACAGATCTAAACTTCTTTTGCTCTTATTATATTCTTCTGCTTCATAAAGGTTAATTCTTGATTGCCCAAAAATACACTGTTTATGCTTGGACTATACTGGAAACAGCTAAGAGAGCAGAAATTAGGTGTAGTTTTTAATCATTCATGACCAAGCCTGACGTTTGAACTTACCTACTGGGACATTTCTGCTTAGTATAAAAGTAGTATGGACCCCTAGCATGGCTGAGTGGATAACAACTTACTTTCCACCAACAATATTCATTGACTTCTGCAAGATGTGGTCTGGATTGTTGAAAATAAGAATGGAGGAATAAATATAGATTGCAGACTCTGTTCAGTTGATGGGGCTAGGTGAAAAAACCCGGGCTATAAAAATTATTTATCAAAATTAGCAAATTGTATTGAAGTTACATAGAAGAGAGTAAAGAATCTATTCAATTTAATTCCTCCAGCTTGAGGATTTATAGACACTTGTTTTGTTGGGTTTCATTACTGGTATCCAACAATTTTATGAACTTATGTAACAATCTGTTCAATAATGAGGATTATATGTCTGTTAAATTTGTCATTTGAATGCTTGTTTAAACTGGAGGGAAGAATATTTAATTATTGATTGGCTGTCCTTTTGAGGTCACAGGACGTCTTCTGGATCAAAAAGCAAAAGAAGGATCAAGGCTGATGCTCCAAACTTTTCAAAATTAAATGGGATGGAACATCGGGTTTCTTTCTTTTCGAAGAATGGCATTTCACTTGGATTTGTGTTTGCACGTTATACTTCCCGGTACATTTCTTTGAAGGTGTTATCTTCCATGTCTTCTTCTGCTTCTACTGGAGAAATTAACGACGTGAATGAGGATGTTGTGAGTAGACCTGATGCTAAAAGCATGGAGTTAACTAGAATAAATTGTCTTGTGTGGGTACTGCATGAGTCTGCAACAAGCTTTTCCCAAGCAGTTGAGTCCCTTGAACTGGCAGGAAGTGGTGCAGAACTTGCAATGGCTTGGAATGGGAAGGATGTTCATATATGGCATAAACGTTTGGCATATCAGGTATAGACAAACCAAACTAATGCATTAGCAATATGCTTCTTCTTCTTATTATTATTTTTGTTATATAACCTGAAAAACGTTAGATTAATCCATTGCTGTTTGTGATTAAGATCATTGTTTCGATAATCATAAATGGTCATTTAATTCACATAGTTGTGCTCATATGTTGTTCTGCATTCGAACACTCAAGAGATAATTTAATTGTTTAGCGGTGGAACTGAACTGCATTTGAACACTCAGAGATAATTTAATTGTTTAGCGGTGGAACCGTCTTTATGAATTTAGAAAACATAAAATTTCAAACAAGAATTGTTGACTAATATGGCTGTTCAGGTAGCTGTTTATGCTTTGCTGAAAACGGCAATTGAAGTAGAGATTTTGCTTTCTCATGATCGTCACAACCCATCTCCAGTCAAAGAAATGTAAGTAATTCTTATGTGCAAGTACATATGTTCATGGTAGTTACAATTTCTTAACCAAAGAACTTATGGCAACGGAGGGGTTTATTTAAACCCAAAGTAATGCTTGTACATGATGTTTGAGCTTGGTATAACTCTATAAGAGATTTGATTCCATTTCTTGGATGTTTGGTATTAAGCCAAACTGGTAGTTTAAACCTCATCCAAGATGCATTCTGTATCTGCTGATTATACCTTTTCTATTTCTTCCCTGGTTCAAATATTCATGGTCCTAATATCATCTTTTCATTTGGTCCAGCTTTACCCCAAAGATAAACTTGCTAGGCGAGTACATAGAAAACCAATTGAACATGAAGCACCCAGATTTAGTACAGTGGTTTAAAGTGGTGGAATTGCCTCATATAGCAGGATTTTTTGCTCCCTTGCTGAAACAGTGGTCTGTAGAATATGCTGGAAGGTTTGTTCATTTAATCCTCTGCTTCATGTCATTGCAATTTACCTTTAGTTATTGAATTATGATTTAGCCTATAGATATACATATTCAGTGGTGTTGCAGGGATTATTGTAGCAATAAGCTGCTGTGCGGCTGTTGGAAAACTGGGCAGTGAAAGAATTTGCTGTCCATTATTCACGCTGTCACTAGAGGATGTATTAATAGAGCTCATGGATCTTTCACATAGTATTGTTGAAGTGGACAAATTGCACAAGCTAGCAACCGAGGCAGGATTCGAACTTGATTTCTTGTCCCGTTTTGGTGCAAAGGTTTTCCCGTGCAATAAAAATGAAGAACTAGAGCTCTGGATTGGGTTGGCGCAGCAAAAACTTTCATTGGCACTCAGCAAAGAAATTGATATAAGAGGCACAGGAAAGAGGGTTAGTTCCTGCATGGCCAGATATCTTTGAAGTTTTTAAAAAACAGTAACAGTATTGCACATATTTAGCAGGAGTTTTTCCCTGACAGAAAGTTAAGTCATCGTCAATAGATGGATTTTAGACACATCAATATGTTGACAAAGAAATTGATATAAGAGGCACTGGAAAGAGGGTCAGTTCCTGCATGGCTAAATATCTTTGAAGTTTTTAAAAAACAGTAATAGTATTGCACATATTTAGCAGGAGTTTTCCCCTGACAGAAAGTTAAGTCATCGTCAGTAGATGGATTTTAGACACATCAATATGTTGTTCTCACTCAAATTCTGACTTTTATAATAACACATATCTGGTGTAACAAAATACTGTTGTCCTGTTATTAGGTAAGTTTTATATGAACTTAGAATTTCTAACTGTTCAAGTAAATTTGGGTGCCGGTGGTGAGATTGTCAATTAAAGTTGCGTTTCTCTGGAATTTGAATAATGGCTCTTAATTATAATATTATAACAGGTTGGTGCAGATAGTTTGGCCACCCTGGGGCTTTTTGCATATCTTGGAAGAAAGACTAGATTATTCTTGTCAAGAATGGGCATTAAGGACCTTGATGAGCTTGTTTTGGACTTCCTCAGGTAACTTCTGAAAACTGAATGTTCAATTTGTGTATACAAACTGAGTAAGAGGTCAAATTCTTTACCTGCAGTTATTTGGAGTGTGGCTGCCTTTTTGTTTACCCTGAACTTGCTTCTGTGTCAACATATCAATGTTTCATGGAGGTAATTTTAATTGTAGTTTTATTGGAGACCAAGAAATGAGAAGTTTTCTAATATATGTAAAACATCCTTCTAGGTCGTAAGTGATGAGTTAGGATGGCTTGATTTTTATGCTGCATGCTCTTTTTTAAGCAATCAAGAAAGGGAAAGGTCCAAACAGCACACAATTCAAGCAGAGAAAGAGATAATTCTATCTACTGTATTTACTGTTTGTTATGATGTTTTCTCTGGTTTTGCTCACTTCAGCCGTTCGGCTCAACAGCCCTTAGATGCAGAATTGCTAGCTTTCTTGCTCCGAAGGTTGTAAACAATATTTCTACACTATTAAGTTATTCTATTAAAATACTTGATCTGCTTCATTGACCAATTGATTGCTGACCTGTTCTCTCAATTTTTCAGTCAAAGTCTGTTAACTATCTGTCTGGAAGACTACTGGGCAGTTTATGATAGATCTTGGTATGCTGTTTGTTTTACTTTCAACTCTTTCTTAATTGCAATTGGACATGAACCAACTTATGGGAATTCAATATAACTGTGCACATGCTGTTTTTCTCTGCAGTGAACCACGAAAGATTGTAGAAGCAGGTGCCTCTGACCACATGCTAGCTGTAGGAAAAAAGGGAAATGAGAATTTATATGTGACATTAGAAGCGCAACAGAGACCAGCTGAGTTAATACTAAATGGATGCCTGACAACAAAATCTCTACAAAGCATTAACCTGAGAAAGGTATGGCTAACTGCGATCCTTGACCAGTTGAAGAAACAGGTGGTATTGTTTGCCAACTACATAGATTGTGCAATGAAACTAGAGTGTTTGAGTAATTACAAAGTAGAACTTTGAGTTGAAAATAACTAGAGTTTTAAGGAAAGCAAACTAGGTATTGATTATTTTTAGTCTGGAACAATGGAAAGAA